GCGCGAAAGGATTGTTTCCCTCCGAAGAAACTGGGTCTCCTGTCCTGTTTCTTACGAATGTGTTTGAGGACCTTGCGCTTGTCCTTGTTCTCTTTAGGTAGGGCGTTAGCGCCTCTCCAAACAGTTTGGCCCCTTGGTAGGAAGCCGAAGCCAATTTCCACTTGGATTTGGCATCGGCCTGCCAATTTTTTAGCCAGAGAAGGTGTCTGCTCGTGATGTTTGATGCTATTGCCTTGGCTGAAAATTTGGTCACTAAGAGTGTCGCGTCCGACGCATATTCCGTGGCTGCTACCATCTTGCTGAGTTCCTGGTGGGTACGGATGTCCTCCGCAGGAACTCGGCCCTGTAATTCCCAGAGCCAACAAAGTGTGGCTCTGGTGAAAAAGGAGGTGGAGGTAGCTGCCCTGGTAGCCCATGCTATTGCTTGGTGTGTTCTTCTATAGGCGGACTCAACCTTTTGGTCCTCGGCCTTAAGAGCTTCTGCAAAGTCTCCTGATATGGCTGTGTCCAATATCAGGGGTCCTATGGGCTCGTCCACCGCAGGTATCTCCAAGGTTCCCTCCAGCTTCCTGGCTACATTAAATAGCCTCTTCTCCGTGTTGCTGGGAAGAGGTAGGGAGGCTGGTGCTGATCACTGTTTCCTTATTGTGTTTAGGAATAGGATCGGACATGGTATGTGGTGTTGAGTGGTTACCTTTTCGGCGAACCTTGGATCAGCCACCGTGTTGACTGTGATGGGTTCCACTGCTGTCCCCTGACCAAGATGAGCTGTGGCCTCAGCCTTGCGCAGAATGGTGACAAAAAGAGACGGGTTAAAAAGGCCATTAAATAAAGGCACCTGAGGTGAGTTGTCCTCCTCCTCGGACATTTGGATCTCCTGTGACGTACCTGGTTGGTCAAGGTAAGAATCCTCGGAGATCGACGAGTCTGAGAGGGAAGAGGGGTCCTGTTGGTCCTCTGTTTCCTCCCGATGTCTCGATCTATGCCTTTGCGGCTTGGGCTTGGAGGCCTGAGCCCTGGACTCAAACGAGCAGTCTACCGCCTGTGCTATCAAGGTAGCTAGTAGGTCCCCCGTCAGAGCAGGAGGGTTAGTCATTACCTGTGTCCCTGCTGGTGCCATATTTAGCGTGGTCACCGGAGGCTCTTGTGTCCTACGTGGTGAAGGGGATCGGGAAAGCGATGAGAATTCACCTATCCCGCCTCTTGCTGGAGACTGAGATGAATCCCCAGTAGACCAAACGCCCAGTGGAAATGAAGAGACCCCCAGTGGTAGTTCGGAAACTATTCCCCCATTCTGGCTCTTTTCAATTCTGGCCCTTTTCTGGGCCCTGTTGAATTCTTTTTCCAGGGCTTGGTGCCTTCTGATTGCCTGTTTGTCTGCCTTCCTGGATGACTTCTTTGCAGCCTTGATTCTGGAGGCTGCAGAAGCTTCAGACCCCTCTGAAATGGGTGTTCAAGAGGTTGAAGGCAAGGCTCCCGTGGAGGGAATGATAGCTTCCTCCATTCTCCTCTAGTGCAGGGTCATGACAGGGGAACCCCGGTAGTAGGAGAGCATCTACTCTGAGTAAGGACAAGCGCACTGCAGGGGGCGCCTGGAACTCAGGAACAGACTCTGTGATTGGTCTGAGTCAATTGCCGTGCACGGATAAGAACAGGCACACTAATGGGGATGCCTGGAATCCGGCTTAGGCTGCAGTGGGTGAGGACAGGCATGCAACTGGGAATGCCTGGAACCCACCACTAAAATCCCGAAACTTACGGGCCACTAGTGGGGAGCCAAGGCAACTTAATTAAACTGGATGTGCAAACACAGGCACTTAGCTTGTTTTAGGCAGAGAGGCACCAAGCTCTGTAATGAGAAGTTGTGAAAGGCACTTATCTAGCTCTGCTTAGGCTTAACCAGCTTGCTGCTTAAATGCTCAAATGGCCAGGGAGGTCCGTAAAGGGTCTTATGACTCCTGTCCTTTTTCTAGTGGCCGATAAAGATTGCGGAGAAAATTCCTGACCACGCATGTGTATTTGCTTGCCGTGCATGCTCAGTGGTGTCCTTTATTCCAAAAAAATGGCCGCCGCAGGCCCAGGGTTACTGCGCATGCGCTCAAAATGGCTGCCGCGCCTGCGCAGAAAGCCTTCTCTATTACCAGATTCCACGTGTGTCGGAACAAAGAGATCACGCGTGCGCTGAGCTTCCCTGGTAATGGCGGCTGGTTTAAAGTTCCTCAGAGAATGCCTGGCAATTAAAGGGACGGCGCTCCACTTTCCAGCAGGATCGCGCCGCTTGAAAAGGGCTCCACGGCTGCCTCCTCCCTCACTTGCGCCCCCCCCCACTAGTCCTCCGCTACCTCCGCGAGTTTTAGACTTTAAGTTTTAAGTTTAAAAGCCTCAACTCAGCCGATCGGTTTTTTTTTTTTTGAACTATTGGCATGGAAATAGTTGGGGCTTGGGTTAGGGTGGGAGTCTGAGGGAATCCCCCCCTTTCTAGTGGAGGATATCCCTCTGGGAATTCTGGATTTCAGTTAGTAATTGGTAAGAATTTTAAGTAATTTAGTCAATTAAATCCAATTAATTTAAGTTAACCTAACTCTCAGCTACTGGAAAATAATCCACCAATGGGAGAAAACTATACCTGCCTAGGAGCCAAAGTTGAAACGTCTGAATCCTGGGCAAGATCAGTCAAGAGTGGGATCTCGTGGTCCAGGACAGGCGTGGCAACTTTGGCTGACCGATCTGATTGGGCAGGAATACAGTCTCAACCCATTGGTGGATTATCCATCTCCAGTGCTGGAGAAACATGTATCCAACACTCCTTTGTTATTAGAAGAACAAAAGGAGCTTTGCTCTGACCAGTGTTTCTCAACCTTAACAGCTTTAACATGAACAGATTTCAACTCCCAGAATCCCTAGGCAGCATGTTAGGAGTTGAAGTCTGCACATCCTGAAACTGTTGAGATTGAGAAACACTGCTCTAGAGAAAAGGAAATGAAGAAAATAAAAAAATATACTCTGCATTCATGTCTCTCCAAGACATATTCCAAGCCAGCAGTTTTTGCAGCTTGGTTTACCCTTTTGAGCAGGCACTAAAACCATGCCTTTTGAGATCACAGCTCAGCAATGGCTACCATATTCTCCCTCTGCTGCCTTGGCACAAAATCAAAAGGCAGTTCTGGAGCCAAACCTTTTGGCTATATTTAGTGTCTTGATGCATATTATTCAGTATGAAATTAAAAAATTACACATTAGAAATTATTTAATACAGGACTTCTTTACTTTTCAGGGTCTTCTAACTCTCCAGTAGTAACATACAAAAAAATTATGGCAAACCTTTGAATGAATGAGTTTTGTCCAATCTATGTATGTCTACTTAGCAAAAAAGGTTTCTGTCAAATCCAAAGAAAACTAGAAGAACAAATAGAGGCTAATTGTTCTCCCAGATAATTAGCACAAAGAGCAAAGGCTAAGGATCTTACTGCACTACATTTTAGTACAAAATGAACACTTTGCAAGTGTCTTGTAAAAATTCTGACACTGCTAGAAATGACTGAATTCCATTAATTAGTTGGAATATTAGTGCAAATCTGATACATACACTAATTTAAGGCAATGAGGCACAACTCTGATAATGGAAGGCAATTCTAGAGTACACTGCAGTGAAACCTAAATCAGCTGCAAATAGAGTTAACAGGTGTTCATTTAAATTCTACACATGAACTTCTGCACTTAACTAGACTGGGGTAATTTTCATTCAATTTATTATTGTACTGCAAAGTCAAAAAGTGCCTCTTGAAATTTATAAAAGTTTTGAAGGTTCTCATCTGGCCGCAATCATAAAATCAATCATAATATCTAGAAAATAGAAGACATCTATATGATGTCTAATGGAAGCAAAAGATTTCATTGGATTATATTATTGGCTGGGTTTTATAAAGTTGTAATCTAAATAATCCTAAAGATACCAGGTTGTCTACTACTGGTCTATTCAAAACTGGCAACAGTGCAAATTGTGTCTCAGAATATTATTTAAGGTCATAAACAGACTATGTTTTAATGCAGGAAAAAGCGGCTATCCTAAATACATTTACTACAGAGCATATACTTTGGCCAACGGATCTCAATGGAAGGTGATACAATAAAGGAAATTGAACGGTGTGTTAAATGTGGTTGGCAGGCATTCGGTAAGCTATGCATAATTTTCAAAAACCTGCCCCCATGCCTGAGGAGAAAAGTTTTCAATCGGTGTGTTCTACCTGCTCTAACATATGCCAGTGAAACATGGACAGTAACCTCACAATCAAAACAAAAGCTAGGAGTGATGCAAAGAGCCATGAAAACATACAGGCTCGGCATTATAGGACAAGGTAGAAAGATCTGCACATGGATTAGAGAACAAACAAAGTATAAGATATCATCAAGAGAGTAAAAGAATGGAAATAGAAATGGGCTAGTCACATAGCAAGAAGAACTGCGGCAGGTGGACCAAGGCAGTCATAGAATGGATCCCATTTGATAAAAAGCATCTCCACAAAAGAGACCTAAAACAAGAAGCGATGACATCAGCAAGTATTGCGGGCCCAATTAGCAAAAGAAAGCCCCGGACCATATTGGTTGGAAAGCATGCGGGAGAGGCCTTCATCCTACAATGGATAGACAATGGCTAAAATGATGATGAATGATGAGACTGTATTGAAGAAAGATGGTCTTCTTCTGAATCACAAATGTATTGGGTCCTTGCTAACTCTTGGCATGTAGAAGACAGAATATTCTATCTAGATTAATATTGCATATTGTGGATAATCCATGCAGTTCACTCTTCTATGCCAGCAGCTGAATAGAAATAAGAATGAAGCATCACACATTTAAAACATACTGCATTCATTTTCTTCATAACAAAAATGACAAACTAAATAAAAATCCATCAGAAGCAAAATGTATTTTGAAGTTATTATAATTACTGAGGTCAGTATATGTTTAAATAAAGCTTAAAAAGATGCCCAATCATAAAGTATGCTTCAAAATTTTATTGACATGTACATATTTTAAACAAATGGAATGTTACTTAAAATGTATAGCCTTGATCAGTAAAATAAAAATAATTGTATACTTCCAGACTAAGTAGATGTACCTTAAAAAAAAATTCAAGTAATTTTCCCCAATCATATAACTCATTTTAAAAAAAATCAAATATATTTTACATTCAATATTACTAATTACATTCTTTTATCAACAGAATGAAGGAAGATTTCTTGCTTATTGTCATCACCAAATATTATAATGTTTCTCATTAAATTATTCATTCTCAAAGTCTCATTTCCCATTTTGTGGAAATAGTTAATTTGAACTGCTGATTTTCAGTAGGTTCTTTCAACCATCCAAATAACTTCAGGGAAGGTTAAAAAGTTCATACTCTTCACCAGTCTAGTTATTCCTTAATCATCCTCTCACATTTAAAAGTTGGTTTGGCAATTTAGTTTCTTCAAATGTATACTCTAATATCTTTGTATTATTTTTCAAATTATTATGTGTATTTAAGACTAGTAGGGAGGTGACATTAGAGTTCTTGTTAAACCAAAATCACATTTCAATCCCACTTTAATGAGTGCCTATATAAGGCATTCACAGTTCCCACAGTTTCAAGAAAACATTGGAAGCTTTTTAGGAGTTTCACAATAAGAAGATAAAAAAAGATAGCTTTCCTAAATTTGTTTACTGTTACAAATCCTTGCCCACAATATATATTACCATTTAAGTTCTGGCTATATTACACATTGTGCTACATTGTGATTTGTTTAACCATGTTTTTAAATAAATCATATTTGGCTGGTCTTAAACACTACAATAATTCTTGTCATAGTGTGCAAATCACAACATTTGAATTGACACAGCATGCAAATCCCAAACCAAAGAAATCATGCTTAATAGAATGTATACCACTTTCAGCTATACCAATGTGTACAGTGAGGTGGCCAATAGTTCACATGAATTAAGGAGATATTTCCAAATTCTCTGCAACCCAGTGGCTCATTGGTAAGCAATAAATAAACAAGATCAACATGAAAAAAGATTATCTGAAAATCAGATTTGGAAACCACAGATTATATTTTTCCAAAACCATCATTGCAGTTTGTGTAAACAATCTGTTGAAATTGTTGCCAGTATTTAAAAGTCGGGGTGTCAAAACATGGGAAAGTGTTGAGTCAGGATGCTCTTTATAGATCTTGTAAACAGAACAATCAACAATTGATTGGCCCCTTTAGATAAATTAATCTATGAAATCAATTAAAATATTCTTAATTTCTGCCTTGTTAACACCTCAATATAATTGCATTTAGGATATTAAAGGCAATCCATGGTAATCTACAATTTAATAAATAGTTCACAACTAATTAGAACTATTTTAATTTTTTAATCTTTTTTCAAGACCTGAAGCAAGACTTGATAGCTTAAAAATACACCTGGGCTGATAACTTGTACAGATAATTATTGCATGGTATTAATGTTATTTCATGGAATAACCTCTGCTGGACATCTTGTTGTGTCAATTTATCAAATATACAAACCAGCAGCCTAAATAAATACTGTTGTTTTCCATTTGTTCATAGCAACCTTTTCCAACTTTATGGCTCCAAGTGTGCTGGAACAACTTAACACTAGGTTGAGATAGTTATTTAGAATTTAAGAGTGTTGCTCTTCAGATGTGCTAGTATTATATCAGGTTGAAATAGTTTAACTTTCAACATAAAGGCATTAACTAGTCTACATGTAGATTTCAGTCTCCTATGTATTCCCATCCTCATGCAGAGAAAAGCAGGCTAACTCATTTATATATCTCAACCAGAGAGAACAATGACTGAGAATAACATAACCAATTTTTGAAATAATGTTGCTGGTGCTGCCCTCTTATGGTTTTGCTTCTAACACCTTCTGGACCTTTATACTATACCCTATGGAGATTCCCAATCATCTAGGCAATGGATGTCCCAAAGATGCTTTTTCCAAAAGGCAACTGGACTTTTTTCCTTTGAAAACGTTTCGCTTCTAAAGAGGCTTCTTGGATGAGAAGTGAAATGTTTTCAAAGGAAAAAACCAAGACAGTCCCTTTTGGAAAAAGCATCTTTGGGACTCTCAATGCATTGCTGCAGGAAAAGGAGCTGTGTTCTGGTCCTCACATCCTACCAGGACTATATGTGTGTGCATGTTTGTTTCAATGAATAGATGGGTAGTGTGTGAAGAAGTGATAATGAAAGGAAGAAGGAAATAATAAAAGTAGTATCTACCATTTAGAATTTGGCATCAACTCAGCCAGATGTGGCCTCTGGCAACTTTCTCATGAAAGAATGTACCTTTTGATTGCTAAGTGGTTATCATTACAGTTACTACAGTTCACCCAGTGAACTATGGTTTGCAGTAGGCCTGATCTTCTAACTTACATGGTTTTACCCTAGGCCTGTAAATCTCAAATTCATTTTATTAGTGAATTAATTTAGAACAATGCTTTTTGATTTTTCTGTCTAGTAAGCAGAGCAGTATATTTAATACAAACTCTTTAACTTTCACATTTCTTTGTAGGATTTGTTCAAAAAATCCAGAATATCTGAGGAAGACTATCCCTATTACATAAGTAGTGGCAGTTAAAATAATAGGGAAAGAAACTCTCTTCCCTTATAAGGCATTGGTTTGGGGATCAGGATCAATTTGAGAGTTGCACAAAGAAAAAATAAATTATTTCAAACAAATAAAATGAAGGGATGAGATAATTAGGAAAATTCAAATAAATATCTGATTCTCAAAAGTATTTTGTATCCAAAAGTTTGTTTTATTTCTAGTTACATGTCCTTTTTACTTGGCTCTGGCTGATCTCAGTATTTTGCACCTGGTTCTTAAACAGTCGATCCAGTTAAAAAACAAATTAAATCTCAAAATTGCAAAGTTCTCTCATCCCCACACTACACTACACCAATATTATGTTTTAATTAAAGTTGTCTTAGATGTTCTGAATAAAAGAAAAATCTTTCATATTTTTGGTTTTGTTTTGCGAATTTAGTGCTGAAAAATGAAACAAACCTTTTAGAGAAAAACCAATGAATAGGAAAAGACTCAGGTTCTTGCCACTTGTCCCTCATGACTTCTTTCCTGTAAATAACCCTTCTTGGGTTGTTGTTCGTTTTTTGCACATTGCAAGCAAATGTGGTTTGGGAATTTCATGCTTGCTGGACATCAATTTCTGACCACTATGTAATATTGAACCAGAGAAGGAAAAAAGAATATTTTTTTCTTTCTGAAGAAAGTAAAGTTTGCTGGCTATAGCATTTAATACATATGTACACTGCAAAAGACATTCTTCATGAATTTAATATTTGGTTTAAAATTTTAAGAATTGTGAATGTACAGCAAATGTATGAAATATTTCTATATGCACATGAATTATGTGCAATATAACAGCAGTAATTAATAACAATAATAGTCAACAGAAATTTGTTTTTAAATGATCTTAGGGGAACAGAATACATAAATATAATGAAATAATCTGATTACACAACTTATTTTTCTCATTTTAAGTTTCATGTTAAGTTTCCATCACCTTTATTAAATACTTTTTCATGTTGTCACAAACTTTATAAGATATTTTAATTGCTTCTAAAAAACATCCTCAAATATATTAATGGCTCATAATTTTATTTGATGAGCTTCTTCTCTATCCTATCAGAGAAAGCCCATTTTACAATTTATGATAAGACACAATTGTGTAGTAAAGTATTATAGATTCAAGAATACAGGCAATATACCCAGAAAATATGTAAGCCTGTTTATATCAACAAGAAGCGCATATGACTGGGTATAGGATTACAGTTAATATTAGCAATGACATTGATGCAAATTATTATAATCTGCTATGACCAGCCATTGAGATATAGTAATCTCCAATACAAAAGTTAAAAAAAGGCCAGACATTATCCCAATGAAACATTTCATCTTCCCTATCTTTGTGACTACTGAACTTAAGGAAAGGTGGCCTGGTAACTGTGATAGTATAAGAAAATAACTACCTGAAACATTAAAAATATAATACCCGTTAAATTAGCTTGACTGGCAGCATTCTGAAAGATGTTATTTGCCATGTCCCTATCAGTTTTTTAAAAAAATATTGCATAGCTGTTAGATTATGCATTTTCAAAAAAATTACTGCATTAATATTTACAATGTATTTTATTATACAGAAATGAGAAGAGATTATGGATTTCAATAACTCTAATTGGATCAAGAATATTAATTCAGAATTAGCCTTGATTGCATTTTGTTCTTTGGGCTGCATTGTGACAAAGTTTTACTTACAAAATTTTCAAAGATTCAAAGAAAGAACATTGCATTATTTTCCATAAAAATGTGAACAGCATATTGGATGAAGAATTTCTGTATCTCATAGTTTGTCTTCTCCTTTACTGTGAGAAAAAAGAATAGGTGATTCTAAATAAAAAATGGCATCTTCCTTGTAAAATGTTCCAGACTGATGTAGAACATACAGCTTCTGTTCAAGGAATTATGTCAGAGCATTCTGCTTTTAAAAAAATGAAAGTAACTTTGGCCTATAAATATAAAATATCTATGAAGTTTGTGAGAGAGAATTTTTCCAGGATGTGCAGCATTTTCAAAATCCCTGTGATGCCTTTAGATGAGCATTTGGTACACTGAGGATCCAGCTTTGCATCATTTGTCCCATGCTTGTTCCATCTTCTTCTTTCTCACTCCAAAATGAACACAAGTTCACTTTTAGATTGACTTCTAATGATGGAACTTCACATCTATTACTTCTGGTAAGCAGTGTAAGAGACTACAAAAGATTAACAAACACACAATTATATTTCTTGAGAGTAAAATACATTTTCTAAATCACAGTAGTATCTATCGGGACATCTGATATTCAGGTATTTAAAAATAATTATAATTAATTCTCTTGAACTTATTCTTTAATATTAATAGTTTTGAGAAATAATTATTTTCACTTCAGCATATGGCTAATATCTTTGAACATGACTTCTTTATTTGTATGTGGTCTATTCCCAAAGGCTCTGGTCTGGACAGACAACAATCAAGATCAGTATAAGATAGCTCCACATGTAATATAAAGAAAATAAACAAAATCATGAACCCACCTTTGCTCAAACATCTTCTACTCCTATGTTAAATGAAATAACTAGATCTTAACTGCACTTCTGAAACCAGGAAGAAAAGAACAGATCTGGTCTCCATTAAGAAGAAATTCCTAAGCATGAAGGTTAAGATAGAAACCTTCTACTTCTGAATCAACTGTGGCTTTTTGGACTATAAGTACTGGAACCCTTGGGGATATCTATACATTTCAAGATTGTATAGAAAATTCTAGTAATTTGGTTGTTACAACTCTGTGAAGTAAATTTGTTTATTTAGTCAAACTTATGGCTATCTTAATTGGAATCACAACGTTTGACTGAGTAAGAGAAACTGACTGACCGAATATATCTCTTTATTCAATATCAATCATATCTATATTTAAGGGTAGATAATTCTACCATAACTAGGCATTGGTTACAGGTAATCTGCGGTACATTAGTTAGGACTGCCACCATATTTTTAAAAAATATACTGCTAATACAATATTACAATGCAGCAGCAATACAATACTTCATGAAAATATCAATAGTAGAAAATTCCTTCAAGCTTGCTTGCTTGAAGCATTGCTTGAGCAGGGTCCGTAAGATTATCTGGGACACTACACATCCTCTTCATGACCTGTTTTCCTTGTTACCTTCTGGGAGGAGGCTTCATGGTATCCGAAGCAGAACATCCAGATTCAGCCAGAGTTTCATTCCATACAGCATTAACCTTGGGAACTCTCAAGCTTCCTCCTTCCGTTATATATTCAAGATGGACAATATTTAATATTTATTTGCTACGTATATGTAGGGATGTGGGTCTATACATATGTTGTTCATAATATGTTTAGGTGTATGTCATGTATGTGTTTCACTTTGAGAGCGGACAACTAAATTTCATTTTTGATGTGTGCCATCATGCCCACAGTATAAAAATGACAATCTTATCTACCTATCTCTTTATTTCCTGCCTTTTTTGTTTTTATAAATTAGTCAAGGTAAGGTGGTATACATACCTAATATTCCCTTCTCCTGTTTTACCTATAACAACCCTGTGAAATGAGTTGGGCTGAGAGAGTGACTGGCTCAAAGTCACCTTCAGATGGCTTTTGTGCTTAAGGCTCCTGGTTTCTAGCTGGCGCCTTAACCAGTAGACCAAATCAGCTCTTTTTTGCGGCAGCATCAATAGTTTACATCTCTAACTCTATGCTTTTTGTTCCAATTGGATACGAAAGCTATAACAGTATATCAGTGAAGCAAGAGGTTTTTTCCCTTTCTCTTCTGGGAAAAAGTGCAAAGAAGAGCAATTAAGATGATCAAAGGCCTGGAGACAAAAACAAATGAAGAACAGTTGCAAGAATTGGGTATGGCCAGACTAGAGAAAAGAAAGAATAGGAGTGGCAAGATAACAGTATTCCAGTATTTGAGGGGCTGCCATGAAGAAGAGGGGATCAACTTATTTTCCAAAGTACCAGAAGGCAAGACAAGAAACAATGGATGGAAATTAATGAAGGAGAGAAGCAACCTGGAATTAAGGAGTAACTTCCTATCAGTGAAGACAATTAACCAGTTTGTCTTCAGAAGTTGAGGGTGCTTCATCACCGGACGTTTTTAAGAAAAGACTGGACAGCCACCTGTCTGAAATGGTATAGGGTCTCCTGCTTGAGCAGACGGTTGGACTAAAGACCTCCGAGATCCCTTCCAGCCCTATTCTGATTCTAAAGTTTAAACCATGGCAATCAAAACATCCATGTGATACATATGTGGCTTCTTTTATATCTACTATCTAGGACAGGGGTGTCAAACTCAATTTCACCGAGGGCCGCATTAGCATTGTGATTGCCCTTGGGGGGCTGGGTGGGTTTGGCCAGAGTGGGTGCAGCCTACTGGGTGGGCGTGGATGGAATGGGTGTGGCCTACTGGGTGGGCGTGGCCAGTTCTACATCATTCGCGTCAAGGGGGCCTGGGCAGGAGTGGGACAGATCTGAGGGTCTCTGGAAGAAGGGGGTGGGACCGGGGCAAGTGCCAAGGCATGGTCCACCGGGGCAAGTGCCAAGATGGCCACCACAAAATTGTATATTGGCTCCCGGCTGGCCTGGGCCAGGGCCAAGGCAGCAGAGGCCGTTCCCTCACTGTTTCCAGGATGGCTTTGCGGAACACATGAAACCACTTCGCGGGCTGCATCCGGCCCCCGGGCCTTGTGTTTGACATGTCTGATCTAGGAGATATACAATATAATTAAAGAGTCTACAGTTAAAAGAGATGCTTGTATTGTACCTGAATTTCTGATACAATACCTGATAACTTGTATTATACCTGAATTAAAACTTTTTTTACATAAATATTATACCAGAAACAGCAGCAGGCATTCAAAATTTGAATTTCTCATTTCAAACATACTGCTTTTTTCCTTCAGAGTGTAAGTTTTTGGATTAAAAAAAAGAGAAGTTTGCTTACAATATCACAGTGATCCCAGCAAGAAAAATTCATTAAATCATGGCAAAGATCTTAGAGATTACAAATTAGTTCTGAATAGACTAACTGACATTGCTCAGGTAGCATCCCTTCTTTAAAAAGGAACTGGCATATGGAATTCATGACAATAAAATGCAGTACATCCTATTGTTATATACACTTTGTGTACCATTACAAACAGAACAATATACAGGTAGGCCTCAGCTTAACAACAGTTCATTTAATGACTGTTCGAAGTTGCAACAGTACCGAAAAAAGTGACTTATTACCATTTTTCACACTTACAACCATTGCAGCATTCCCATAGGCAGATGAACAAAATATAGATGCTTGCAAACTGATTCATATTTATGACAGTTGCAGTGTTCCAAAATCATGTGTTCACCTTTTGCAAATTCTGACAAGCAGAGTCAATGGGGAAGCCAGATTCACTTAACAACCATGTTACTAACTTAACAACTGTGACAAAAGGTTATAAAATGGGGCAAAACTCACTTAACAAATGTTTCACTTAGCAACAGAAATTTTGGGCTCAATTGTGGTTGTAAATTGAGGACTACCTGTAAATCAAAAGAGAGCTAATAGTAACTCAATTATTAGTCGACATTACATTAAAAAGAGTAAGAAACTAACAACTCTTACCTTTAAAAGCAGCAAACTTGGTGATTAATCTGAAGGATGCTCAGGACAAGATCTATTTACTTCAAACCATTCATCTATGCATCTACGGAGCGACAAAAGGGAGAAAAATTCAGGCTTAAATATGAGAACTTATTTATAATATATTTTAAATTTTGTTAAAATTGACAATTAAAAGTGCCAATTATTGATTTTCAAATAAATATTTTTGCTACTGTTAGGTATCATTAGGAAAACTATATAAATAAATGACTTTTAAAAAGTTAATTGGTTTTAAAGAAATAAATAAAACAATATGTTGCATCTCATGCATTCATAAATAGCTATGTTTCACTGAACAAGCTTTGTGGGCCTTAACGCCTAATCAAATTGAAGTAGTCCTTGATTTACAACCACAACTGAGAATGGAAATGTGTTCTAAATCACTGTAATAAGGTTGAGTCACCATGTGACTAAAGAATATTATGAATAGTTTTATGATAATCTTTAAGCAAATCACCTGGTTATTTACATATTTATTTATATCCCATCTTCATTATTTTTAAAATAATTCAAGGCAGCAAACATATCCAATACACCTTCCTCCTCCTATTTTCAAGTGGTCGTAAATCTGAATCCAGCTTATCCAATGAATAGCAGTATTTTTCAAATTAAATGATAAAAAGTCACAAAAAGTAATCATGTGACTACACGGTCACTACAACTGCAAGCCCATTGCCAACCACCAAAATATTAACACATGATTGTGGGAATGGTATGGCAATCAGAAATTTGAGGAAGTTTTTTTGAGTCTGTCATAACTAATCTTAAAAGTTGAGAACTAAGTGCAAAGGAGGGCAAGGTGAGCCCTGCAATTCATCCACCACCCAGAATCCACTTTCACTTGGTGAAGTGATCGCATCAATGTTCTGTTCACTGTGGTCCTTGGCCTAAGCACTCAACTAAATACTTCATCCATTGAAATGCTGTCCATCCTTCCGACATATGTGTTGTATATGCAGCAACCAATATTTTAAAGCTACTAATATAATGTAATGAGAAAGCAAGTGTCTTCTCCCTTAAGACCTGTATTAAGTATTTTAAAAAGTCTGTGCGAGAAGGATAGGGAGACAGAGACGGAGGGAGAGCGGGAGAGAATAGACACCAAATCCCTGGATAAATACTCTAAATTGTTTCAAATATATATGGTCTCCAAGAGAACACAGAAAACAGGACAATTTTTTAAAAATAAATGCGTCAATATTTACATAGGTAAACCTTTACAGCTTTTATCTTACAGTATCTTACTGCATTATATTATCAGGTATCAAAAATGACATATTTATGTTTGAACTGAAACATTAAATAAACCAATGAAACATGTTCATAATTGAAGGATTTGACAGTTCATTTAATGCAGACATAGTTAGAAAAAAAAATAATATACAGGCACAAACCAACAGAACTTTTAAACCTCCCTCTACTCTTATCTGTCTGAAGAATTTGGAGTTGCTCCATAAAGGAGGGATAATATGGAAGCAGGAAAGACATGGTAGATATGATGGATGCTGCCTACATGCCTTTAAATATAGTCCAAAAGTTAGTTCTTGAATTATATTTTGTATGCACTCACCCTTTATGATATATACATAAACAAGGCAATCGTGCTATTGTATCCCCTTGCTGCAGTTCCTCCAAGCATATTGCACATTCTCCAGCATCTTTACTCAGGACATCTTCTATAGAAACAGTTAAATTAACATAGACACAATAGTTATATTTTTTAATGATACTTTGTTTTTTAAAAATGAAATGCTTCATGTTTAAAACCTAATCATGTTATTCAAAAAGTTATATTGCAATTTGGTTTACAATAAACATAATGCTTCACATTCTTATGGCTGTTAAAAGAATAACACAGACATCTGCAAGATGATTTTATGAATGGAACACTCTTGTTCAGTTAATCCACCATATCTTCTTCCAGGACATTTCATTCTATTTCAGCAGCAAAAAACTGTATTCCATTGTCATGATTAAGTTCAATTTCATGGAGATATTGCCCCTATTAAGGGTTTCCTCTCATTTTCTTTGTGGGAATGATTACTTTGACTACACATGTTCCACAAAAAGAAGTAATAATAATAGTAATAGTAATAGTAATAATAATAATAATAAAGTTGGAAGGGACCTTGGAGGTCATCTAGTCCAACCCCCTACTCAGGCAGGAAACCCTATACCATTTCAGACAAATGGCTGTCCAGTCTCTTCTTAAAAACTTCCAGTGTTGGAACATTCACCTCTTCTGGAGGCAGGTTGTTCCACTGGTTAATTGCTCTGTCAGGAAGTTTCTCCTTAGTTCTAGGTTCCTTCTCTCCTTGATTAGTTTCCATCTGTTGCTTCTTGTCCTGCCTTCAGGCACCTTGGAAAATAGCTTGACTCCCTCTTTGTGGCAGCCCCTGAGATATTGGAATACTGCTATCATGTCCCCCCTCATCCTTCTCTTCATTAAACTTGACATACCCAATTCCAGCAGCCTTTCCTTATATGCTGTAGCCTTCAGTCCCCTCATCATCTTTGTTGCTCTTCTCTGTACTTTTTCTAGAGTCTCAACATGTTTTTTACACCGTGGTGAGCAAAACTGGATGCAGTATTCCAAGTGTGGCCGTACCAAGGCATTGTAAAGTAGTATTAATACTTCACGTGATCTTGATTCTATCCCTCTGTTAATGCAGCCCAGCACTGTGTTGGCCTTTTCGGCAGCTGCAGCACACTGCTAGCTCATATTTAAGTGATTGTCTACTAGGACTCCGAGGTCCCTCTTACAGTTACTACTACTGAGCAAGGTAATCCCTATACTATACCTGTACATTTGGTTTTTCTTGCCTTACTTTTTTCACCATTGAATTTCATTTTGTTAGATAGCGCCCAGTGTTCAAATCTGTCCAGATCCTCCTGTATCCTAAGCCTATCTTCTGGAGTGTTGGCTATTCCTGCCAGCTTGGTGTCATCCGCAAATTTGATGATTTCCCCATCTATCCCCTCATCCAAATCATTGATGAAGATGTTGAAGAGCACTGGGCCCAGAACAGAGCCCTGGGACACCCCACTACACACTTCCCTCCATGTAGATGTGGTTCCATTGAGTACCACATGCTGAGTACGGCCGGTCAGCCAGTTACGGATCCATCTGGTGGTGATGCTGTCTAACCCACATTTTTCTATCTTATCAAGTAGTATGCCTTATTGAAGTCCAAGTAAATTATATCCACAGCATTCCTCTAGTCCACTGATTTTGTCACCTGGTCAAAGAATGCAATAAGATTTGTCTGACATGATCTGTTTTTGACAAACCCATGTTGGCTTTTAGTATTGACTTTGTTTGTCTCTAGATGTTCACTGATTCGTTGTTTGATTATCTTTTCCAGTTGATCAAAAAATTGAATTTATTATATAGAGAAGATATAATTGAAGTAACAACTTGTATATGTATAAACTCTGTTCAGCAGATACAACTCTTTTTATTATTATTCCCTAGAAGTCATGTTACTGTTTTGTATTTTATCTATTGGTTTGTCCTATGTTAATATAGTTTCTTCTCATCATAGCTGATCTAGACATGGAACAATAGAGAGGATGAGAAAACATCTCCTAAAGGTCCTTTTACATATGAATTATAACAATATAGGTAACCTTGACTTATAATTCATTTAGAGAACATTCAAAGTTACAACAGCTTTGGAAAATAGCTTGACTCCCTCTCCTTTGTGGCAGCCCCTGAGCTATTGGAACACAGCTATCATGTCACCCCTAGTCCTTCTTTTCATTAAGCTAGACATATCAATATAGCATAACAATTTTTGCTTTTGTCCTGTCTGGAAATAAGAACAATTATTTACTGTAATCTGCTAATTTGGACTAATAAACATCACTCCAACTTGTTGGTTCCTTGGTGAATTAATTCTGTCAAAAATACTTTAATATTTTTACTGTATTGTAATCACCAGCTAATGAAATTATCATAACATGTGAAGAAAAGAAGTGAAAAAGCTATGTCCAACAGTAGTAAACACAATATGAGAAATCCAGATCACCTATGAATCTTCAGTTGACAAAACACTATAAACATTTACATCTCATTACATATGATTCTAATTTACTTCTTTATAAAGATACATTCACACTTTACTATGCCTGCTTTACTGAAATATGGAAAGAGCATATGGAACATATGCACATTAACCTATTTCTCCCACTCTCTTTTGTATGTAACAGATGTTGAATCTAATACATAGAAGACATAAATAAAACTACAATTTATGCAGTTATCTAGATAGTCCTCAACCTTCAACCATTTGTTCAAAACTTTGACAGTGCTGAATAAAGGGATAGTTGACCTGTATTGAAGTTACTGCAGCCTCTGGATGAAATTTTGGGCACCAGACAATCTACTTCCTCTTATGACCAACTGCAGGGATGCTGGATCTGCCTCCATCCACCTACACTATCATTTCCCCCTGTTCTATGTCCCGCCAGGTACCATAGAATTTGACTCTCCTCCCTGCTCTGTCATATCTTTTCCAATGACCTCTTCCAAAGATCATCTTTTCTATAAAGATCAGCTCATGTTTTCCTGGAAACAAAGGACATCTGGAAGTAGGCACCATTCTCACAATCTCTCAGGAGGGCATGATTTTTCAAATCATAAATTTGGAAAATTAGGCCCTTCAGAGATTGAAAGAATAGCACTCATTTCCAGAATGGTTTAAGAAGGTATCTGTAGGAAGTCTATGCACTGTATTGGCTGGGGACTTCTTCAGTAAGGTGATCTTTGCAAGAGGTGAGTGGTGCAAGCAGTGATGAGATGGGGAGGAGACCTATTTGGCAGAGCAGGAAGTAGGCCCATGCCCTATAGGATTCAGTGGGGGTGGGAAATAGGTAAGTGTGCCTCAGAGGGTGGGCGAGACTCTAGGAAACCAAGCATATGCCACACACATAAACCGAGGGAATGCTTTAGTGCAAGCCTGGGCTTGAAATAGAGTGCAGACCTGGGCCTACAATCCACACTCTCTTAACAACCTCTATGACAGCTTAACAACCTCAAGGATTGCGGTTGTTGAATGAAGCAATTATGTGGGCATCTTACTTAACAACCACAACTTACAACTACAATTCTGAGCTCTATTGTGATCATAAATTGAGGACTACCTGTAACTCTATTCAGCAGACAGACTGATCCAGTTTCATTGATTCAGAAATGGTTTGCTGTATAGTAAATTTTATTACTGTATAAATTTATTTAAAATAATCATGTAAAATTCACATTAATGTTCATAAAGAACATGCTATGCAGTAACATTAGTACAAATTCCCTTACAATACTGCTAACTTCCAGATATTTTGATTTTTGGAAACTGAGTCAAGGAACAGAAAAATACAAGTGAATACTAGTTAGTGAATTTTGTATTAGGTGACCTCAATAGAACAAGTACTCTTTAACTATCATTAGTAGGTTTATCTTGTATAACAAAAGAATATATTAACAAATACTTTGTTAATATTTCTTATGTGTAATGCAAAAACAAACATAACTACTGATAAACGAAGGTTAGGTTTGTATTCTGAATAATTTGATACATATTTATTGTTTAACAATCATTTGTCAGATTGACTACTAATCAGAATTTCAATCACAACCCTCTCTACTGTTCTTCATATAATTATTTTAAAAAGCCTAGGAAAAACAAGCACAGAAAAAAGCTGAGGCTGGTGGAATATTCAAAGAATTTTTAGAAGGAGGGTAAAATTTACCCCACAATTGTTTTTGCTAGGTATTGTTACTGATTGTGATACTAAGGAGGTTGTATTGATGTTAAATTTAATTACAGCCGCAAGGTTGTTAGTAGGGCAATACTGGAAGAAGGAATCTTTGCCTACCTTGCAAGAATGGTTTTTTAAAGTTTCTTATTTGGCGGAAATGGCAAAGATTTCGGCTTTTTTAAAGGATCAATCACAAGAGAAGTTCTTTGTGGTATGGGAAAAATGGATAGATTTTATACAACATAAGTTGGATATAAAAAATATTATTTAGTTTTTTAATAACTTATATATAAATTTTAATATTGTATAGATTGTAATATTTTTTCTTTCTTTTTATATTTTTTATTATTATTTTACTTTCTTATATTTCCTTTCTTCTTTCTTTCTCTTTATTTTTTTTCTTTTTAAGTATTTTTTTTCCTTTCTTTAATATTTATGTTTTATATATATATATATATTATTGTTAATTATTTTATTAGTTGTTTAAGTAATGTATTTAGATTTATCTATGGTTTATACCTTTTTTTTAAGAATTCAAGAAACTTTAATTAAGCCTATATTCAGCTCTGGGAAGGCTGAGGGAGGGAATGGGAGGGTTGGGGTGGGTTGGGGAGGGTTGTTTTTCTTCTTGTAAAAATTTTAAAATTTTTCAATAAAAAAAAAAGAAAGAAAAAAGCTGATGCAAAAATATCGAAGCAAACTGAAGTTATTATAGCAGCCATAAGGTCACTACCTATTCTCAAGGAGGAAAAGAAAATAGTAGCATTTGTTAACTACCACAGCTATCCAAGCTCTTAATTTTTGACCTGGTCCTGCTTAGCTCAACTTCAAATGTCAGCTGCTTGTTGTGATATAACTTAAGATGTGTTACTTATTAGCCAAGTAGTTAAATTCTGTTTACCATTACATTCTGAAAGTG